TGAAGTTTTTTCCACATTAATAAGTCTTTTTGTACTGATTTCCACAATTTCTCATAATTATTCTGGTAGAGTTTCATGTTAGAGGAGGATAAAAAAATTCCCAAGTATTTAACTTTACTAACCACTTCAAAACCTGATAAATGCATAAGTTGTTTTTTGTCTTTAACAGTCATATTCTTTGTAAGAATTTTAGTCTTTTAGTCTTTTAGTCTTTTTTAGACTAAAAAAGAAAAAAAACTTTTCCTTTCTCTTCACCAGATTTCATTTCGTTTCCAGGCTCCAGGTAGGGGAATGAAGCTCCCCTTCACACGTGCTTTCCATCCCAGGTCTTCAATCTCGTGAAAGAGAAAAGAAGGACTAGGGGGAATGGGATAGCAGTATTCCAGTATTTGAGGGGCTGCCACAAAGAGGAGGGGGTCAAATTATTTTCCAAAGCCCCTGAAGGCAGGACAAGAAACAACGGATTGAAACTAATCAAGGAGAGAAGCAACCTGGAACTAAGGAGAAACTTCCTGACAGGGAAGATAATTAACCAGTGGAACTTCTTGCCTCCAGAAGTTGTGGGTGCTTCATCAGTGGAGGTTTTTAAGAAGAGGCTGGACAGCCACTTGTCTCAAATTCTATAGGCTCTCCTGCTTGAGCAAGGAGTTGGACTAGAACACCTCCAAGGTCCCTTCCAGCTCTATTCTGATTCACACACTAACATGTGGGACTTTGTAGTGCCTAGTAATGTTGACAACTGGATGGAGATGTCCCTGCTAGCTCCATCAAGAAGAGCTAGAAGGTTCTCCTTCCTTCTGTTGTCCCCAGTTCGGGTCTCAGCCTGGTGCTGAAAACGATGAAGAACATCAGACACGAGGTGCAGGTTTCGTCGTCTTTCATTGGAGTACCCCGAGAAAATGGATCCTTGCCAAAACTGCCAGGGAACCTCAAACCACAGAATTAAGAAAGCTTTATATATTTTCACTAAAGCAGAGGGTGAAGCAAAACATCCAGATTCAGCCATAGTTTCATTCCATACAGCATTAACCTTGTGAACTCTCAACCTTCCGTTATATATTCAAGATGGACAGTGTTTAATATTTATTTGTTACGTATATGTAGGGGTGTGGGTCTATACCAGGGGTAGGCAACCTTGGCTCTTTTATGACTCGTGGACTTCAACTCCCAGAATTCCTGAGCCGGCATGGCTCAGCTTGGAAACCTCTCCCTTTCCTCTCAGCGTGGCTGGCTCAGGAATTCTGGGAGTTGAAGTCCACGAGTCATAAAAGGTTGCCTACCCCTGGTCTATACATGTGTTGTAGATAGTATGTTAGGTGTGTGTTATGTATGTGTTCACTTTGAGAGCGGGCAACTAAATTTCATTTTTGATGTGTGCCATTGTGCCCACAGTAAAAAATGACAATAAAGGTTATCTTATATTATTTCATAAACATTTCAATAATAATCTAACAATTATTGTATTGGTCTCTAGCCCTCCCTATTCCTAAGGCTTGGCTAATGAATGCTTCAGGAGTTATCTAATGCACCTCCTATTTGCTCCAGGCCAGAGATCTTCAAACTTGGCAACTTTAAGACTTGTGGACTTCAACTCCCAGAATTCCTCAGCCAGCCCTCAGGGCTGGCTGAGGAATTCTGGGAGTTGAAGTCCACAAGTCTTAAAGTTGCCAAGTTTGAAGACGCCGGACTCCAGGCCATCTCTATTCCTAGCTTTTAGCTGAGCTTGCAAGATGCCTGAGTCTTGGTTACTTTTATCAGCTTTTTAACCACCCAAAATTGTTACAGGCTTTACTACCCCTGCATGTTCCCTGTGAATAAGCATTCCTTTGTTCTTACCAAACTCCTCAATTACAGACTTCCTGGACTCTTTTGAAGTGTGTGCCTAATCTTGCTTTGTTTTGGCATCCAGCCCATCACTTCCACATCCAGTTTTCGGTCACCTCACGACAAAAAAGATGGCGAGACCTTGGAAAAAGTGCAGAGAAGAGCAACTAAGACGATTAAAAGCATGGAGACAAAAACATACCAAGAACGTTTGCAGGAATTGGGTATGGCTAGTCTAGAGGGGGGGGGGAAGGACCAGTATTCCAGTATTTGAGGGGCTGCCATAAAAAAGAGAGAGGTCAACTTATTTTCCAAGGGCAAGACACAAAACAACGGATGGAAACTAATCAAGGCGAGAAGCAACCTGGAATTAAGGAGAAACT